AACAGTGACCTTTCATATTCAAGAGGAAGTGACTGATAACAGACTGTTTTCCCCCTGAGTTTTCATATAGTGAAGAGCTCTGAACAGCTGCAGTGGTGGAGAGGAAGAGAGGACAGGCCCCGATGAGGCAGGGAAAGGGTGAAGAAATGGGCCCTACAGGGTTCTGAAACAAATGTCCCTACCCACAGACTACACCTGAGCCTGCAGACAAGGAAGAATGGGGGAACGAGTCACATTCTTGTCCTTCAAGGAAGTTAAAATCGCGTTCCGCTCAGGTGAAAACACACACAGCCCAAGGATGCTCGAAAGAATGGTAGGGTTGCAGTTCTACCATTGCAGCTGGAACAGGAGATGAGGGTCCTTGCCAGCTGTGGGGATCACAGTGAACCCCACACTGTGCTGGATGAAGCCCCCACCTGACACCTAAAAAAGCCATGGACACAGTAAGATGCTCAGGCAGGGCCTCTTTGTTGAATGAATGGCAACTGTCCCAGATGAAGCGCTCTACAGATGGTCCTCCTTTGCCTCTGCTTATACCACTCCCTCAATGGGAGGTAGGCTGAATCCTAGTCCATCTTGTAAGACAAGTTCATGTTTTCTCTGCACATGCCTGGTTTGGGCCTCTGTTATTTTTTTCTCCCTCTTTTTATAAGTAAAGGGCCTCCAAGTCATTCATCTAGTGTCTGCCTTATTTCCTCTGTCTCTTTCATAAGGGCCCAACTGCCAGAAAAGATGTGGGGAGGGGGGCGGTTTTTAAGTTCATAACAAATAGTAGTATGTAGCTTTAAAAGAATTTAATGGGAGATCAGAAATAATTTTGGAAGAAAAAGATCATTGTACCAAGAAGCTAGGATAAAGCATTTACCAGGAATTGTTGGAGGCCATGGTAAAATGATAAACACACTAGACATATAGAATGTTCTCAATCTCTGATAAAAGGAAAGCCATAATTCCATGAGGACAGAAATTTTTTTCTGACATTAAATTCTAATAGGAATTTGCCCCTGATTTTTTTAAAAAATATTTTTATTGATTTCAGAGAGGAAGGGAGAGGGAAAAAGATAGAAACATTAATGAGAGAGAATTATTGATCAGCTGCCTCCTGCACACCCCCTACTGGGCAACCCAGGCATGTGCCCAGATGGGGAATTGAACCATGACCTCCTGGTTCATAGGTCAAAGTTCAACTACTGAGCCACACTGGCTCGGCTGCCCCTGATTTTTCATGTAAGCTGTGCAGTCTGTTAGGTCCTTTAGGAAAAAGACCATGTCTTAGACCAGCAGTTCTCAACCTGTGGGTCGCGACCCCTTTGGGGGTCGAACGACCCTTTCACAGGGGTCACCTAAGACCATCGGAAAACACATATATAATTACATATTGTTTTTGTGATTCATCACTATGCTTTAATTATGTTCAATTTGTAACAATGAAAATACATCCTGCATATCATATATTTACATTACAATTCATAACAGTAGCAAAATTACAGTTATGAAGTAGCAACAAAAATAATTTTATGGTTGGGGGTCACCACAACATGAGGAACTGTATTAAAGGGTCGTGGCATTAGGAAGGTTGAGAACCACTGCCTTAGACTATATGCCCCTGATAACAGCGTGTATGTCCTATATAATAAAACCCTAACATGCAAATCGACCGAACAGCCGAACGACTGACGGAATAACCATTGGAACGACCGGTCGCTATGATGTGCACTGACCACCAGGGGGCAGACACTCAATGCAGGAGCTGCCCCCTGGTGGTAGTGCACTGCCACAGGGGGAGCACCACTCAGCCAGAAGTTGGGCTCATAGCTGGCAAGCGCAGCAGCAGTGGTGGGAGCCTCTCCCACCTCTGCTGCAGGTGGGCAGTAAGGAGCAAGGGTTACCAGACTGTGAGAGTCCCGGACTGCGAGAGGGATGTCTGACTGCCTCTTAGGCCCAGGGTGATCGAGCCTAAGCCAGCAGGTGGACATCCCCCAAGGGGTCCTGGACTGCAAGAGGGCGCAGGCTGGGCTGAGGGATCCCCCCACCCAGTGCATGAATTTCATGCACCGGACCTCTAGTAACATTATAAGTACTCAAGTATTTGCCAATAGACTAAGGACCCACAGTTCTCTTGCCAATCTGGATATTCCAGTATGTTTCAACATCACAAGATTATTAGAGTAATAGAGTCATCAAATTTCCTAGCAGGAAGAACCCTCAGACCATTTCATTTTGCCTCTAGGTCCCCAGTCATTTCAACAATGAGATTTTTAAAATACTTTTTCCCCAGCTGCTGCCACCAGTTTGCAGCTGGGGTCCTTCCGCCTCCGCCTCCTGAGTTAGTTGATTGTCCTGTGTCTTTCTGTCCCCACCAGATGCTCCATCCCTTCGAGTGGCAGAGCTTTGCCTTATTAACCTTGATTCCCTGTGACACTAGCACAGTGCTTTGCACAAAGGATCTACCTTCTTTTTTTCAATGGAAGGAAACGGAATTGGAAAGGGTAGGCCTTTCCTTATTCTGCCCTGCTCCCTCTGACAAACTCCAGCTATATAGAAGCTCTTCCTACACCACATAAGCAGCCCAAAAGGTTAAAATGCAACCACTAAAGGAATTGAAGACCCTAGGGGCCAGAAATGTATTCTCTCACCCTTGTCTCCAGATCTCCCCCCTCGCCCAGCCCTCCCCAAAGTACACTGGGCAACCCTTCGGAAAACAAAACCAACAAAAGCCTGTACTCAGTAGGAGCTCAGTAAACACCTATTAACCTAAGGTTATAGCGAAGCTATCCTGAACATAGTAAGTACTCGAAATATTTTTTAAATTGAGAAGTTTGTAACACGTCTACTTCGCACATAGTAGGTGCTCCATCAATATCTTTTAAATTAAGATGCCCTTGCACACAGAGGGCCCTCTGTAAATGCCTGTTCAATAGAACTGTAGCAGACACTCGCTCCTTAGAGAGCGGGGCAGGGGTGACATTAAGCACACCCCAGGCGCATCCATGAATGGATATGCGCGTCTGGAGCTGGCGCTTTCGAGAGTCCTGGAGAGGCGCGTGACAGGGCGCCGCGGTGGTGGACACCCGGCTCCCCGCGAG